CCCTCATTATTATCAATGAGTAGTATCAATGGAGTCCTGGTGTGGTGCTGTGGGTTAATGCACTTAACTACAAAGTCGGTTTGAACCACAAGGTTCAAACTCACCAGCTGCTCCTCAATAGCTACAGGTCAGAACCAACTTGATGGCACTAACAGGCCAATATCCAAAATATTTATTTTTGAAAGAAAAGCTTAAATTGATCAAGAGACATTAGCATTTATCCAGTCACAAAGTCAGCCTGTAGCAAAATAAAAGTCCCTGGTGTGAATTCTCCTTATTGCTTAAAATTAAGCTAAATCCTGAACTGACTCTTGCTAACTGACCTTCCGAGTTATTCCTATTCTCTGGAAGAGAGATTCCAACAGAGATAGTTCAGTTCCACAATGGTATTCCTAAGAAGAGTTCCAATGGACACAATGTTTCCAGATCAATAAAAGTTAACCCTTAATTGTTCAGAATAGGCTGTATCCATGAGAACTATAAGCAGTGTCTTCAATCCTGTATTCGCCACAGCCATGCAACTGCTGTACAATGGTCAAAGACTAGTGATGAAAAGAAAGGCTGCTCATCAGAACTATGGGAAAGGAGCAAGAGACACAGAATACCTAGCCATCAAAAGAAGGCCTACAGAATACAAAAGCTAATTTCAGAAAAAGCAACTTCATAGTTGTTGTTAGGTGCCATCAAGTAGGTACTGACACGTGGCGTCCTTATGAACAACACAAAGAGCTCTGGTAGCGCAGTGATTACACATCGGGCTGCGAACCACAAGGTCAGCAGTTCGAAACTTCCAGCTGTTCCACGGGCGAAAAGATGAGGCTTTCTGCTCCCGTAAATATTTACAGGCTCGGAAACCCTGTACAGGGTCACTATGAGTCAGAACCAACTCCACAGCAACTTTATAGAAGAGGGGCAAAAGTTTCTAGTGCCATGTGTACTATACTGAGTTTAACTCTAGTCACAATGCAAAAATTAGCATAGTAGATTAACTCTAAAATATTCCTTAAAGCAACCAACGTATACTATACTCATGCAACTACTACGTGGTGGTGGTGGTGGTGGGCTGTGCAGTTAGTTCCGACTCACAGCAACCCTTCAAAGGGTTTCTGAGGCTGTAAATCTTTATGGGAGCAGAAAGACTCATTTCTCCGGTGCAACAGTTGGTAGTTTCATACTGCTGACCGTGAGATTAGCAGCCTGACTCATAACCACTACACTACCAGAGCTCCTTAACTATTACATAGTAAAATTTCATTTTTAAAAAATTTTAACTGGCATTTAGTAAGTAAATGTTACAAATGCAAAGCCAATCATGCTCATTTGAGATAGTTTCATCTAAATCAATGAAAGCTCTGTGGTACAGATGACTTTTCACACTGTTGGATAAAGTAGTACTCCTAAATAATATCATATTTTGCAACTAATAATACTTTAAATATTCACTGCCATCTTTAGTACTTCCAAAAACATGCTTCTTGGAATGTTTTATTTCTAATGACATACTAAATTAATGAAATGGTGTTATCATTAAGGTAAGACCTATATACACTAAAAAGAGAGAGAATACAAGCAAATCTTTATTTAAAATGTCAAATCTCATTTTTAATTTTTTAACAAAATTAACAATGTGTTAAAATAACGATATATTGAAATGTTTCCGAATGGTTCAATTACTCTGCACACTTTACCAGAAGTAAGGATTATGTTCTAACAATAATTGTATATACATAACAAATCAACAACAGCAGCTAGATAGAAGAGTCTTGGAGTAACAATGCAGGATAAGCACTCGACCATAAAGGCGGTTTGAACCCCAAGGGCGGCTGTTCAAACTCACCAGCCGCTCCTCTGAAACCCTATACAGAGTCACTATGAGTCAGAACCAATTTCACAGGGAACTTAACAACAACAACAACACAGCTAACTAAGTAAGATCAATCACTTCTCACTGGAATCAACAGTCAGAATCTAATCTTTTAAGTAAGAAAAAATAATGAACAGTAATGTTTTAAATTGTTGACACACTACTTTAAAGTCATCAGGAAGCTCTTGGTAACTACTGAAATTTCACTAACTTTTAAAGTGAGCCTTAAATATATAAATATGTATATATATTGTTGTTAAGTTCCATGGAGTTGGTTCCAACTCATGGTGACCCTGTATAGAGTTTCTAAGTAGCTGGTGCGTTTGAACCGCCAACCTTGTGGTTAGCAGTCCAGTGCTTATCCTGCAGTGCCACACTAGGACTTATAATTATATATATATAATTAAAATCTTTACTACATAGCATTATTCATAGTTTCACTTTATCAAAAATATTTGCACTCTTAGAATTCTAAAATAATGCAAAAATTGGTAAACATTAAAAGGAAAATAAAGCAGAGATCGCTATTAGGACAATGGGTCTGTTTACTTTGATGGTTTTTCATAGTCTGTCTAGCCATAAAGTACTTGCTTGCTCAAAACTAAGCATATGATTGATGATTTAAAGGTAATTTATTCTTAAAATACATTAAACTCCTAAAGTCACACCCCCAGGAAGCAAACTTCACTGGTCAAAAATGTTTTTTACATTTTAAAAGGCAAACTCTTGAAAGGTATCTAAAGGTATTGGTATTCAAAATACCAATCTAAAGAAGAAAGAAACAGATGAAGTGATTTGGGATTTCGTGTTACAGAGCTATTAAGAATACACAGACTTGAATGACAACTATTCTGGGGAGCCAGAGTTAACAATTCTTAAGAGTTCTTTCCAAACATTTCAGTGTTCAAAATTCCCATGAAGCTCAGTTGTCTTATTACTGATGTCATACCATGTCTGCCTAAAATATGACAATGCAGTATTTAAGCGCAATCTATGGTTCTACTGCTTGAAGTTTACAATTGCAGTAATAAATTATGCTCTGGCTTAGCACATTTGTAAATGGAAATCATAAAAGAAAGCATCATTGATACAACCGAAAGAAAAGAAAGGAGACCTAGGAAAGCCATATGGTTCAAGAAATTGTTGATCTGCCCTAACTGTATCAAAGAATTTCCTTTTTCTGAGCTCTAGTGTTATTGATTACATTTACAAATGGCCAAAATTCAACTTGCACAAAGTGCAATTTAGGATAAATTTCAAATGAAAAATTTAACTAGTTAAAAACATTCTAACAAAAAGAATAACTATTTTTTTTTCCTATCAGAATCACTTTTTCCCCCCACACTGCCATAATAATGACAGGAAAACTTAAGTCTTCCAAATGATTACAAAGAGTTTATTAAATTCCCATCTAAAGTAATTTTATTTCTCCCTCAATGTCCAAACATTTTATTTATTTGTGGTGACAATGTATACACAATACATACACCCATTCAACAATTTTACACTCAGAATGTATTAGTCGTTACCTACATGACGTAATTTTCTTGATATAATCTACATTCCATATAGATCAAGTACTAACCAATTATTCAGTCACTTTTATGTCTGGTCAAGAAACCAAGAGGCATACTCCTCTAGCTTCTAGAAGCCCACGCATTTATTTCTGCTTCCTCCCTTCCTGCATCATCGGTTAACCCTTCACAATCTACTTCCCTAATAATCACTATTCTTCACATTTTTATTCGCCACCTAAGAGAATAAAAAGTATTCAAGCACAAGACTATCCAACCTACCCTTTCATTCAAACAATATTATGTCCCAATAATGACTGTTTTGTAATCATGGTATCCAAACTACTCAGTGACAGGTTAAATTTCACTTAAAAGGTCTTGGATCCGCTTCAGGTAAAGCAAGTTAAATACTCCGATTATTTATGTTGTATACACTCCAATTTGCAAAGCGCTTGGCCATGTTGACCAACATCTTCTTTCTGGAATAGTAAACATCCTGTCTGAGAACCCAGAGCCTTTCTGCTTTGCTGTAAAGTATACAGTTTCTGAGCTTCGGAGAGCAGCTGTTAGTAACTTTCAGACGCCTGTTGGACTATCACTTTAGTGGGTCATCTGGTTTAGTCGGAATCAACTCGAAGGCAGCGGGTTAACGGGTTTTCAACTTGTCACTGTTTTTTTTTTGTTTGTATTTTTTTTAACCCTGCAACTGGTATAAGAACTTACAGCTCGGCTTTAAAAATAAAGTACCTAGAAACCTAAACATTATACTTAGCTCCACTGCATTTCCAAGGGAAATCCTGCCAGGATCTTCACAGCATTACTTATACCCTAACCAATCAGTTGTCCATGACACTGAAAAAGCTTTCAAAGGCTACAGTTTTCTACTTAGCCTTACCAAACACGTTTACAAGTTCTCAATTATTTCGAGGGCATTCTATATTAAAATAGGTACTGTCTATCAGGACTGAGTTGCTAAAACACCAGCCCCGTTCCACTGGAAGGTATATTTCTGGCTACCTGCTGAGCTTTCTGTTCCCGGTGTTTACCCCGTGATGGCCCCACCAGCAAATACTCCCCCCTCCCACCCTTCAAAAAGGCACATTAGACTTTAGAGGTTTCCGCACACGGATAGGAAACCACTAACACCACTCGGTACTGTGGCTCTCAAAGAATCCTCTTTAGCAGCCTCCCCTGGGACTTTTCGCTCAGCAGGGCATTGAATCGGTGAGACTCTGCCAGCTGCCTTTGCAAGAGCAGCACCAGACGCCTACTAAATACCGCATTGCTGCTACTGACTTTTCCTAGTAGCTTCAAAAAGAAAAAAAAAGCCACCGCCACCAATCCGCCCATCCCCTGAAGACCCTGCAGGCTCCTCCGCAGCACGGAATAAAGACCGTCGCATTGCTCTGCGTGGAACACCCGGGAGCACCACTGTCGGCAGGGAAGTGTGCCATCAATAGGCTCAGACCCGTCCGGGTGCACAGAGAAGACGCCTGGAGTGCGGGCACGGCACCGGCATCTAGACACCCGGCTTGGCATCGCGCACTGGCCAGGGCCGTCGAACGGCGCCGAGGATCCCGCTGGGGCCGGCCGAGTCCCGCCCGCCGCCCCCGGGGCCTCACCTGTCATGAGCGCCGGGCTGTCGCCCGCTGCAGGCGCGGGAGAGGAGGCGGCGGCCGCGCCTTCAGCCCGCCGCCCGCGGAATTGCTTCGACACCAACTCGCATCCGTCCGCAGCTCCGGCAACCAGCAGCCCGAGCACCAACAGTGCAGCCCAACGCTGCCGCCGCAGCCAGCCCGAGGACGGACCGGGAGTCGAGACAAGATGGGGGCGCAGAGGGGCTGAGGGGAGTAAGCACTGCAGCGCCCCGGCTGCTGGCCACTCGGCGGGCCACCCCCGCCGCCTTAAACGCGGGGTCCCGCCGGGCGACAGCCGCATCCCCTCAGCAACTGCAGCCTCCGAAGCTCGGGTCTTGACTGCGTTCATTGGTTCCGGTTATTTGGGGATTAAAAAAAAAAAAAAAAAAAAGGTGGGAGGCAGAAAGGTACGGCGTCTTCAGGCCAAGCGCGACACCCGCGCTGCTGCCGCGGTAAGACCGGGATCCGCTGCTCTGGCGCCACTAAACAGCAGCCCAGCGACCGCGCCGCCGCCGCCGCTGCTGCTGCTGCCGCCGCCACCGCGGCGCATCCCCCGCCCCCTCCGGCCCGCGCTCGTCGTAGTACCACGCTCAGCCCCGACGCCTCCCTCCCCTCACACACTAACTTGCATACCAATACCCCGCCTTCTCCAACCCCTCCACGGCGCAGGCGCGACGCCGCTGCCATGCGCGTGCGCCGGGCACTAGCCCCGCCCCGGAGGGCGTTCCCGATTGGGCCGGGTTGTCCAAGCGAGGCTTCTCGGGTTTTAGCGGAGCATAGGACAAGGGGGTGGGGAAAGGAGGGCCAGTCGCCCGTCCCTCCTTACTCCCGCACTGAGATTGGCTGAGGGAACGAGAGTGGTGGGAGTACCTACTTCCAAAATCGTTTGGGAGAATTATGTGCGTGTACAAGGCAAAGAAAATAGTTGCGTGGAAAACTTTGGAATCAGAAACAGTGGCCACGTCTGTATAATTTTTATATAGGTGGGACTTACAAGTGGGTGGAGGTGGAGGTTGACATAGAGTAGCGTTTTGTTTACTTGTCAAACACTTTAACCCCACTTTCTGCCAGGCAGTTATAAACACTTAACACATGTACATATTGTGACTCTAAAAATTAGGTGGATCGTTATCATCCTCCATTTTACAATGAGGAAACAGACCCAGAAACAATTAACTTTCTCCCAAGGTCCAAAAGCTAATTTGACAATCACTGAATGGAAATATTGGGGAGGATTTGCTCTAGCTTCTGAGTCTCACGTGCCCAGATGCTACCTGAATTTATCACTCTACTCCCCACCCGCGCCCCTGGGGTCTTTGCTTGTGAACCGAAGATTGAATGAAGAAGATGGAGAGACTTGACTTAGCTTCACTACCTCAAAAGAAACGCAATTCTTGTGCACCCATATCTGCTTTTGATTACATGGAGAATCTGCTCAGGCAGATTTAGTCTAAAGACAAAAAAGCACTGGGATCTTTCTCATCCAAACTGCTTATCAACACATTCTCAGTCCACCGCTCTTTAAATCAAAAGGGAGATTGAGGAAGCAATTCTACTATAAATGTAAAATGATGTTAAGAAAGACCCTAAAAACGCAGACATTTCCTCTCCCAGGGGCATAAAGATCTTGTTTGGTACTGAGCTTTCATTCTTAGTTTGCCATTTTGTTTTGTTTGTTTTTATTGGTTTGTTTTCTCAATTCAAGAATAAAGTCGAATTACACAGTCTCCCAAGGAATTTCTTACGCAGTTGGACCAATATAACCATGATTACCATTCATTGTGAAAGGGCAGATGCACACTTCAGAAAAGTCAGGAATTTATTTGAGGCTAATCATTCTATCAACAATAATTTCTTGGCCAACTTTCTTAGGGACATGGTGTTTAGGTGGCAATTCTTTGCAGGACAACAGGGAGACTAAATTTCCCTTGTTGAAAGTCACAGCAATCAACCACACATTTGCTGAGAGCCCACCAAGAGAAAATTCCAATAGGAAAGCGAAGGGGTGGGGGGAGGGGATGTGCACACAATCCTGCTCTCAAGTAAGACATCATTTCATTCATTATATGCTTATGGAGCTCCTACTATGAGTCCTGGAGTGGTGCTGTGGGTTAATGCGCCAGACTGCAAAGCCGTTTGAACTGCAAGGTCGGCGGTTCAAGCTCACCAGTCGCTTTTTGGAAACCCTATACAGGGTCGCTATGGGTCGGAACCGACTCGATGGCACTTAACAACAACTATGTGCCAGGTAGGCTACTGGATGCTGGAGATTCTAGCTGAATAGGAGAGGCACTTGATAAAGTCAATTAAGACAGTAATCAAGGAAATGAGATAGTAGTCTTTGCCTGAGGAATCTTACAATCTTGCTTAGGAAATAAAATGTGCAGCCATTAAACAATTAAAGACTAATACAAGGTAGAAGTTAATCAGTTGCTAAATTGGGTAGGAGAAGTTATTTTGTAGCAATAACTAGTATAAAAGCATTCACAAATTACATAGGCCAACCTTCATTAAACTAAGATGATATCGAGATATTTTCTGCTTATAAAAACACAAGGCAGAGTGCTGGTACTTAAGATGGCACTGGATTTGGAGTGGTGTTTATGCCTCTCACAACTGGAGTGTGGTAAGCAGTAAGCACGGAAGAGACCTCTCTTAGACAAGTCAGGATCCAGGAATAAATCCTCCACCTCATATCATCTTTGTCTCTGGTCCCAAAATGTCCAACTGTTAAATGAGTCGTCAGAATGCATTCCCTTACAAGTGTCACAGAGCTACCGTGTCACTATGCATCACAGCATAATCCTCAGAGCAAAAAAGGCAGTTCATTGCTTTGGAGACAAGCCCATCCCTAGAATTACAGATGGCTCTATTTGCAAGTCAACCATGAACACAAGACTCTGGTCTCCCTTTCTTCTCAGGTTTCCTGTCCCACCTCCAAGCCTATGCTTTCCCTCTTTTCCTCTTGCCAAATCTGTCAAAATCTATTTAGACAGCCTTCTTCCTTGACGCCTACCCTATTCCTGTTGCCCAGTCTATACCTTTTAGTGTCCAAAACTCACGATTTGCTATTTACAGAATATCTTTAAAACCTTATTTTCACCTATTTATGATTCAAGCGTCTTATCGTCAACACTAAGTTTTAGAATCAGACAAACCTGTGGGAACTGCAACTCATTTGTCACTTTTCAGCTATGTGATCTGTGGTCAAATTAATCTGTCCTCAGTTTCCCCACCCACAATTTTTTGTTGATAAAAGCCATCGAGTCGATTCCGACCCATAGCGATCCTGTACGGGTTTCCGAGGTGCAGCTAGTGGGTTTGAACCGCTGGCCTTGTGGTTCGCAGTCTAGTGCTGATCCTACAGCGCCACATCAGGAGTCCACCTACCAATCAGGGACCTTGTAATGCCTATTTCCCAGGACTGTCGGTGGCAGAGGGTGAATAAAATAACACGTAAAGCGCTTGCGCGGTGCTGACCATGCGCTTGTCTCCGGGCTCTGCGCTCTTACTGAGAGCCTGGGCTTGTTTCTGATTTGCTGGTTGCACTTTACCGATGTCTGAATTCACCTTCCGACAAATAAATTCCAAATTCTGTGGTGCACTCCCAGCACAGACGCACAGCATGACCCAACTACCCAGCCCTCCCTATGCCAGAGACAAACCCGCCCTTCCTGGCTAGGGTTCGCGCCCCATCTCCTCCTCCGCCACTCCGCTTAGCCAACAGAGCCCACGACAACCGGGAGAACCGGATCGCTTCCCCGCAAAAGGGTAGAGCGCCTGCGCCACCCGTCACAGCCGCGCATGCACACTCCCCGCCCAGCCCAGCTCCACCCCTTAGCCGGCTCTCTCCAGGTGCGCGACCTCTCTGGCGCCTCTCGCCAGATTTCCGGCTCCAGCTCCGTGGGCGGTGCGTCCGGGCGCCTGGCTGCCACGCGATGACGTCAGCGCGTGGGCGGAGGTGGTGGGCTGTCTGTGGGGACCCCAGTTGGCGTGGAGTGGAAGATGGGCTGGAGAGCTAGTGGGGAATTCCAGCCTGACCTTAACTGGGAGGGACTTCCTCCAGCTCTCGCCCTAACATGGAGATTCCCTCACCCTCTTTTGCCCAAAGGGCTGATGTTAAGTAGGATTTCACAGCTTCAGCTTCCCCGCCTTAGAGGCCTGGCAGAGTGCCAAAGAATAGTGCCTAACTATTCCTTTGTTCACACTGTCTAAAGCCTTTGAAGAAATGCACAGTTGCCTTTGGTGGAGGCCTTATTGTATACCCCTCATTTTGTCTGTATAGATAGTTTTCTCATCTGCACACAAGCATGGCAGGGAATTCAGGTTCCAAGAACTGGAAACTTCTGCGGTGGGTAATAGTCACTAAAATGGTACCAGAGTTCCAACAACAATTTGAGGGTCACCATTTGCAAAGCCTCACATTCTGGTTGAATAATTAAAGCATTAAGATAAAAAGTGACACACAAAAAAGAAAAACTCATTAGCAAGACCCTTTCTATCAAAAGCCAGTAAGGCATGAGTTATTCAACTATTCTAGTAAAGTTAAAAATTCCACATCTCTTTCCAGGAGTAAAGTCAAGTCTTTCCAAATAAGCCCCGCATTCAGGGTTGTCAGGAGTCAATGAGTCAATTTCAACTCAGCAACCCTATGCACTGCAGAACAAAACACGTCCAGATCCTACATCCTCACAATTTTTGTTACTCTTGAGCCCATTGCTTCTGCCACTTTGCCAATGCATGTCATTGAGGAGGAAGCTCTTCCCCAAGGATTATTGGTATCTCCTGATAATACGTCCAAAGTATGAGAAACCAAGTCTAGCCAGGCTAGCTTCTCAGGAGCATTCTGGCTGTACTTCTATTAACTCAGTTTGTTTGTTCTTCTGGCACTCCATGGTACTTTATTCTACTCTAACATCATAACGTAAATGCATCGATTCTTCTATGGTCTTTATTCATTGTCCAGCTTTCACATGCAGGTGTAGCTATTGAAAATGCCATAGCGTGGGTGGGACACACGCGTTAGTCCTCACACGGGCATCTTTGTTCTTGAACATTTTAAAAAGGTCTTTTAAAACAGAATTGCCTAATAACATCGTTTGATTTCTTAACTGCTAAGGAAAAAAAGATTGACGTTGTCAAGGACTTCTCGGATCAACCATCAACACTCATGGAAGCAGCAGTAAAGAAATCAAACAACTATTTCATTAGGCAAATCTGCTACACGGGACCTTTTTAAAGTGTTGAAGAGCAAAGATGTCAGCTTGAGGACTAAGGTGTGTCTGATCCAAGCCATGATATTTTCAATAACCTCATATGCATGCGAACACTGGACAGTGAATAAGGAAG